TATTAAACAGCTGTTTTTGATTGTTCTTTTGATTCATGACAAACAATACACAAGTTGTTGTATGAGAGTAGAAATGATCTTAATGTCTGCAATCCATTGTTAACCCCTTCTTAGGCAGTTCATCTTGTGATGTAATATGATGTGTGTGTGTACCTGGTATTCCCTACATCATGGGGACCAAATGTCCCTACAAGGATAAGGATTAAGTATTTTTGTCCTTGTGGGGACATGTTTTGGTCTCCATGAGGAAACAAGCTTATAAATCATACAGAATGAGGAAAACAAAGGAAAGTTTTTTGAAAATCTGAAAATGCGGATAGTTTTGTGTGAGGGTTAGGGTAAAGGAATATGAAATACAGTTTGTACAGCATAAAAAACATTACGCCTATGGAATGTTCCCATAAAACATGTAAACCAGTGAGTGTGTGTGTGTGTGTGTGTGTGTGTGTGTGTGTGTGTGTGTGTAAGTGAGAGAGAGTGGGGGTGGGGGTGGTGTTGTATAGACTTGATTCTTGATTCTATACTGTTGCTGGGAGAGGAAGGCATAAATGCAGTTGAGGCGAAGATCTATTTGCAGGCAATTTAACGAAACTCAAAAAACTAACAAAATCAACATGAAGCAGGCTCCCCAGTCAACACGTGAGATCATGCGATGATCACAGTGACATCACACGATCCTCATACTGTGATCCTCACGGTCATGGTGACATCATTGTGAGATCAAATTGTTGACTGGGTCAGGAACATGGAAACAGCAAACTCACAAAAGTAACATCTATGCCCTGAAGCAACAGAGGGTATATATAAGCAGGAATAACAAGGAACTCAATGAGACAGGTGTGAAACTAATTAGAACCCATGAAAATGATCAGGTCGTGTAAATTGTTCATGTGACTAAAAATGAGGGCTTAACGGCATTTGTTGAAAAGGAAAGTCATTTCAGAGGAAAAAGCGCCAAAACATATATTAAAAAATTAGCAAGTAGGTTAATTTTCATTTGGCTTGGTAAGCACAATTTTAACATTCCTGACTAGTATTTATATGTATGTATCTTGCCTTTTTCTTGCTGGCGTGTTTCAGATTCAGAATCTGCTGTGTGCAAACACCAAATGGCTTTGGTTCTGCAGTGAGATCCTGTGCTTTGATCTCTCAGACAGGTGTTCTGCCACACAGATTTGTCTGCTGAAATAGTTTTACAGACAGAAGCACGACTGGTCACATCAGTTTCACATAAACATGCCTCAGTGTTTCGAGACAAATTATATCTAGGGTACGCTTACACGGCAACGATCACAATAATCCGCAAGTAATCCACATGACTCCAGTTCATCAAAAAACATCTTGTGAAGTGAAAAGCTGCATGTTTGTAAGAAACAAATATATCATTAAGCCGTTTTAGCCTTATACTGTCACTTCTGGCCAAAATACCGGTCCATAATTCATAATAATGCTTCCTCCAGTGATAAAGTCCATCCCTTGTTGTCCTCTCACATCAAAATCCACAAATATATTTGTTTAGAACTGTCTTGGATTGTTTTGGCTTGTAAATGATGCTTGATCTGTGCATATTTCTCTCCTGATTCAGATGAGATGACTTATTCTAAATCAGGAGAGAAATATGGGGGGCAGTTGTGGTCTAATGGTTAGAGTCGAAAGTTGCGGGTTCGATTCTCAGTACCAGCAGGAAATATAGATGGGGGAGTGAATGAACAGTGCTCTCTTCCACCTTCAGTACCCATGACTGAGGTGCCCTTGAGAAAGGCACCTAAACCCCATTTGCTCTCTGGGTGCCGTAGCAAAAAAAAAAAAAAAGACTGCCCACTGCTCTGGGTGTGTATCCACGGTGTGTGTGTGTGTTCACTACTCACTACTGTGTGTGTGCACTTGGGTGGGTTAACAGCAGAGCACAAATTCCATGCATGGGTTTCCATACTTGGCTCCACATCACTTATTCACTGGAGAAACGATATTACATAGACTGAGGCCTTGTACTTTAGCCAGAAGAAATGGTTTAAAGTTAAAAAAAAATCTTAATGATGAATTTGGTACTGCTTTTTGCTGTACAAAATGTTAATTTATGGACTAGAGACATGTCGATTACTTGTAATGTTTTTATCAGCTTGTTTGTTCTCTCTATTGAGTCACTGAAGAGGATCCATTGGTGAGCAAATGATGTAATGCTAAACTTCTCCAAATGTGTTTTGATGAAGAAACAAACTCATCTACATCTTGGATGGCCTGTAGGTGGGTAAATTGTCATTTTCCTTTATGTAAAACAAACAATGAGCTAACAGTGCTGTCTGAACAGTGAACACATTATATTTGCCTCATAGAAAAGATTACAGGCTATTACTAAACTCATCATAATTTAATAAACCTGAATAAACAAATCCCATCTGGTTTTTGTGAGTCTGGTGTATCCCAGGCCCCACACTGTGGTAAAAGTTCTGGTTTTGTGTTTTGTCAAAGATTTGACCAATAAACCTAACAAAAGTGTCATGCCACCTAGAGTCCCAGCCATAAATCATTCAATGTAAGATGTTAAACTGTCACTGCTAATACATTTTGATTTATTACAACAACTTCTAGACCTCTTAACCTCGCTCCTCTGGGATTTGACAAACAGACTTTAGAGACCCAGTGTGACTGTGCTTGGTGCTGGTGGGGAAACACTCAACTGTTGAAGTTGAACAGCTCCAAGTTGTTAAGACTGCACCAGACAGCCAGCTCTTTAACCTCCTGTCTGTAAGCAGACTCGTCTCCGTCCTTGATGAGACCGATGACTGTAGTGTCATCTGCAAACTTCAGGAGCTTGACAGAGGGGTCTAATTGGCAAATTATAAAATAAAGTACATTCATGAAAATATATATATATAATGCCCTCTGTAAAGCCCTCATGAAAATATATATATATATAATGCCATATATATAATGGCTATAATTACTGTAGTTATCTCATCCTCATGTTGGACAAAAAGGGTTTGATAAAAAAGAAATGCATGTTTGCATGGTCTCTGACGAATTCCACATGATAATGCTAAAATCCTCTATATCTTTTCTCAGACTTTTACTTTACAATCTCCATACACATTGTTTTTAATTCCCTGTTATAGTTCATTTGCTATTTAAGAGAAACAATGTCCACAAGCCATGATGGTCTGATCTGGGATTTATAAATCAAATAAACATGACAGCCTCTAACTGACTGATGTGCTTCATCAACTTATTATCATAACCAAAGGCCATTAACCTGATAAAATCTCTCATTGAACTTTTCATGAGGGCTCCCCTTTAATGTTTGTATTTTAGGAAAATGTTGAAGACATTCACAGTCTCCACTGTGTCCTTCTTTTAATATGTGGAAAACCCCTGGCTCCCACGTGATGTATCCTGTCCTGAATGTACAAAGGCTGTATGAGCTGAAGCTCAGGGTGCCTGTATGTCTGGGAGCCATTATCCTCCTGGCCATAAAGAACACAGAATATGAGAAAAACAATTCAAAGTGTCACATTACTTACACACCAGACTGTCAACAATATGAAAGAGCCTCAAGCATCTGCTTTGTACAATGCATGTGAAAGAGACCATCTTCTTACAGCATCCAGTAATTCACCCTGTAGCGTCATGTGACTTGGACATCCCCTTAACAACAGCTCCTTCCAGCTGAAAAAAAAAATACAATAAAATAAAAATCTACACACCCCTTAATTTAATATGGAGAAGGAAGAGGCAGAGCAGCAGGAAGGGAAGCCATAATAAACAAGGTAATGTTGAGAAACAGCCAGGGAAGGAAGAGAGGTGTAATTTAATAAGCAATGACAAAAAAGTGCTTGTTAGCTCTTCATATTTACATAGCTGTGGTCATAGTACACGCTCACAAGGACGTAACCAAATATTCAGAATATAAATGTTTAAAAATCGATCATTGAAAAACCCATATCAGTTGACTACTAATCTGAATATTATAAGGAGAAGGGGAGCATGCCTTCCTCATTGGCTATGGCAGTAACAGCCTTGTATTCCTTCTTAAAAAGATTAAGCACAAAATGATGTAAACAATGACTGGAGCCTGTTAACAAATTATGTTGTTGTTTAAGTATCATGGAATGTTTATTTTTACCTAAACTGCTATTTGCCAAAGGAGTGAGTCAAGATGATGTCTCAAGACCCAGTGTGTTCAGCTTTCGTACAGACATATGAGACTCCTGCTTTGTGTACATTTGACACAAAACATAATTATCATCTTTATTATAGCCAAATGGCAATAAATGGTAATGTAAAGAAAGAAAAAACTCAACCTCGATGGCCTGTGAGATTGTTTCAGGACAAGACTGTCACTTTCTCATTAGGGAATATGCCATTGTTTTCCTCATTATAGCTGTATTATTTCAAAGACCTACTAAATTATTTATTTTTCTTGTTTCAAATGTAGTTGCAGTTTTCTTTGAAATGAACAATAATAAAATCAATCAATTTTTTTTATTATTATATATATTTTTTTATGTAACCTAAACATGTTGGTATAGGCGACAGCAATGGAACCATCAACACATGAAGCTTGGGTGGCCTTTTAACCTCAGATAAAAATTCTTAAAATCTTTTTCAAGCTACTTTCATTATATTACACGTTAATGAATACAACTGTATATATAACATTATGTGATTTACAATATCATGTTTGTGGTTTTCATTTTTCACTATAGCTTGTGACCCTTAAATCAAATCAAGGGTGTATGACATAAATCTTTTTTTTTTTTAATAAAATAATTATTCTGATTTTTTTATCTCAGTATTTTTTTCTTATGAAGGCTGTTAAGATATACATTCATTTTACGTCTTCTTTTTTTTTGTCTTATGAATATATAAACCTTATATGGAAACGTAGGCTACTGCCACTTCAACCAACCTTATCTGACTCGTTGTACCTGGCGTTCACCTGTACTACATCTCCCGTTAGACATCACTACATCTACCTTGTGTGATCATGCGCACTCGTGGGAAATAATGATGACGTCAACTCGCTATAGGGTCTGTGCAATGCTGAGATCAAGCACATCCATATACCCAGCTCACCCAAACAAAACAGTGGAGTTTGAATGAATGATGAGACCGCGTACGAGGTAAGAACAGCCTTTCAGTTTACATTCTGGATGAATATGTGTACTGCGCATATATGCGTTGCGCGCTAATGGATTATGTTGTGACCTGAGAAGTGTATTATCACCACTGTCCGATCAGAGTACGGAAGGGTAATGCTGATTAATGATGGTAAGCTATGTGCGGTAAATCGCACAGACCGGCAAAACTAATGCGAAACAAAGAGTTGCTCACACTTTTTGCATGTGCTTTTATTTTAATTTCCAAAGTGCTTAGCGTCACGGTTTAAAATGAACGATTTGCATCTTATTTGCATGTGATATTCTTTCCTCTTGAATAATGAAGCCGGTTCTGTTTTGTGTCACATCACTCGCGCTCACGGAACGACAGAGCATGTAACCGGCTTCCAAACAGTTTCACCAAGAGTTACTGCAGTGCTTCTTTACCTCTCCAACTCCAATGCCCTTAACTGTCCAAGACACTATTTCAAGCCCCCTTTTAGGTTAAGATATTTCCTTTGATACTTCTAGTGTTCTTCAGGGTAAAAAACAAAAAACAACGTTATATATATATATATATCAAATACAGATTAGTACATCTGGGATGGCATGGGTGTGAGTAAATGATGAGATTTATTTATGGCTGTAGGATCCCGCCAATCCCATCTAGTTGATAATGCTGAAATGTGGGAATTAAGCTGCTATCTATTGTTTGGTCTCTCTTTCTATTGTTTGGTCTCTTTTCACTAATCAAGTGTTCAACACTTGATTAGTGGAAGAGAGACCAAACAATAGATAGCAGCCTCATTTCCACACTTAGTGCTGACTAGACCTAAAAGTCTTTCTTATTTATCCATCAGCAGATAGCCGCATACTGGTATCCTCAGTTCTCTTGCGTTAGAAAGCCCCTGTCACCCCACATTTTCATCAGTCTCGGCCGGTTCTCTGTTACTAGGGTAATATACCCTAGTGGGCACCGTGAGGCATCATGAGTGATGGATTTCTGCACTTGACTTGACTTGTATTCCCCTCAGACTGAGCATATGTGCCCTCATATGGGCTCCTGCTTTGACTCTTGATATAAGGCATGGTGATCAATGACAGCCTTGTTTGCATTTTATAACATTGTAACTGAAGTTATTGTATTATTTGGCATGTTATTATTATAAGTTATACTTTTAAGACAGAGTGTAGGTGAACCTGCATTATCTTGTGATCTCCCAACTCTGAATACAAGGTTTTGGGGTCTTTTGCAACTCTCACATGCTCTCACAGAAAAGAGCTTTGTCACGTGAAGGGACAGTTCACCTAAAAATTAAAATTCTGTCATTTACTCCCCCTCATGTCATTCCAAACTTGTAAGACTCTATTCTTCTGTGGAACATAAAAGATATTTTAAGAGATGTTGCAGTGTTTGTTTCTCCATACAGTGGAAGTCAGTGGTTACTAAAGAAAAGACATTAGTTTGGAAAGACATGAGGGTGAATAAATGAAGACAGAAATATAATTTTTGGGTGAATTATCAACTCAACTCTTTAGAAAAAGATTTTACCAGTTAGTATGAGCAGATAATAATATCAATATGATTCCATTTCTTTAGATTTTGTACTTGGACTTAGACATGAATGTGTTTGTCTTTCTTTTTGTGATTTTGCAGTAGTGAGGATGTTTAATGCTCTGCTGAGAACTCTGTGATTATGAATAAGATTTACATTGCCTGGGATTGAATGAACACATTTCTGGTTAAATGGAGTCTAGCAATAAAGCTCCCACTATTAAGTCTACTGAGCTGTCAATGAGCATTCAGTAGTTACATTTTTGGTGAAAAGCTTTTTTTTTATTATTATTTATTTATTCCATTGCTTGGAATCAGTGTTTGTCACTGACAGAGTACATTTGTTCTGTACAGCCCGTTATTCCAGACAGGTTTACAGCAGTGTCACTCATGTGATGTGTACTCTTATTGACCACACTGGTGAAAGGTTTGACTTTCTTTTTGTGCTGCATTGTGTATGTAGGCGAGAGATCAGGCTGGGAAGCGGGCAATGAGTGATAATGTTAAAGCTGTGTTCTGTTCTTATGTTTATGGAGGTATTCATGAGTGTGGGTGTGTGTGTGTGTGGCATGTGTTGTCTTTTGTCTGACTGTGCCATCAACAAACCACCTCTTTTGCAGAACCACGTGCCCGGATGCAGGTGAATGGTGTGTGTGTGTGTGTGTGTGGTGGGGTGTTTTGGTAATTAATTAGGCATAGGGTTACACCAGCTATCCAATCAGATCACTGCGGCTGATGCTGCCTCCACAACTCATGTTTGTTAATGTGGAGACAGCCGAGACACCACTGGGAGTCGTAATTGTTTCCGCTGGTGAAAGGGTGGTCCCGGGACAGCTGGGGTTGCCCCACACCAGCACAGCACATCACATTAGACTGCTCTGACAAACAAAGCATTACTGAGATCAGTGCTGCCATATATAAAAACTATATTTCAGAAGTTTGGGTTGGTAAGATTTTTTAAATATTTTTGAAAGAAGGCTCTTTTTTTCTCACCAAGACTGCATTTATTTGATTAAAAATACAATAAAAACTTTGAAATATTATTACGATTTAATATTAATTGTTCAGCAGCCATTTATTCAGTCTTCACTGTCATGTGATCCTTCAGAAATCATTTTAATATGCTGATTTGGTGCTCAAGAAACATTTCTTATTATCAGTGTTGAAAACAATTAATATTTATTGTGGAAGCTGTGATACTTTTTTCAGTATAGTTTCATGAATATAAAGTTAAAAACAGGATTTATTTGATGTAGAAACCTTTTGTATTGTTATAAATGTCTTTACTGTCACTTTTGGTCATTGCAGTCCAGTGTTTCTGCCTCATTGTTTGGTCATTAGCATTGAAGTGTTCTCTGTAATTTTTGGTACACTGCTTTGCATCAAAACCAGTATGCTTTAAGCCTTCAGCACTTTCTAGTCCCCTTCCCATCCTTCTCTTCTCCATCTTATGACATTTAACCATGGCAACCGTTCAAGAACTAGAACCTTTATGAAGAATGCAAGGATGCTTCACTTCAGAAGATGTTTTGCACCAAAAGATCTGTGAAACACTAAAAACTATTTGCTGCCATTGCACCAGATACTTGTGGGAGACAAATAAAACCTTCAAATTTGGCTCTTTATATCAATCCACTGCTGAGCTGCGCATACTCAGTGCTCACTGCTCAACCTCAGCGTTCAGTGGAAATGTATTGCGTACAACTTCTGTTGTCTTTTACAGAATTGGATGAGGACTTCTTTAATGAGGCTTGAGAGAGATCGCAGCATGGCAATGCTCAACGAGCCTTTCGGCTCCGGCCAGACCTTGTGAGACAGGACCCTGCTCAACTTGCCCGTAACAATAAGCCTGTGTGACCGTTTGAATGTCCTATTCTCTGAGTGGTGTGGTTCACTTGGATCAGACAATGGCTTCACTTTGCATCATTTATTTCCAGAGGCCCTGCATGTCACTAGGCCACTTCTGTTTACTGCGTTCTGAACCAACTGTGCGCTGCATCTACACACCTTCATCTACACTCTTGAATCAGAGATTTGTCTGTTCTGTTGTCAGCTACGGTTTTTGTGTTTGCTTGTAATATGAGATCTTATTGTCTTTTTGCCACTCAGTCAGGTATAATCCTGTCTCAGTTTGTATCCTCAAGCTGTCCTTCCTCTTGGCTCAAAGAAGATTATATGAATAGTAAGGTGACTGTAATTACTTCTGATCTCTTCCGTGCTTCACTTTCATTCTCCTTGTTTTTCTTTTGTGTTTGTCAATGCTTTTGCCCTAAACCTTATGTTTATGCAAACATTATGATTTTATGATTGGTTAGTGTAGGATTAAACCTGCCTGATCTCTTACTCTTCTCTATGGTCGCTGCAAAGCCGTTTTCCAAGCAACCAAACATTTGTTGCAGAATTAAACACTAAAACTTTTTGCACAATCACTTTCTGTATTTAGGCTTGGTGAGTTAAAGGGATCGTTCACTAAAAATGAAAATGCTATTATTATTTTATTATTATATCTGCAAAGCCGTTTTCCAAGCAACCAAACATTTGTTGCAGAATTAAACACTAAAACTTTTTGCACAATCACTTTCTATATTTAGGCTTGGTGAGTTAAAGGGATCGTTCACTAAAAATGAAAATGCTATTATTATTTTATTATTATAGTATAGACAAAATCTTATTTTGTGTTCCAAAGAAAGTCAGGTTTGGAATGACAGGAGTAATTGATGACAGAATTGTAATTTTTGGTAGATTCTTCCTAGAGTTTGACTTGAAGCTTTTTAGCATACTTGCGCTCAAGCTGAGAGGTGTTGCTGAGGTAAAATCAGTGGCCTTTCCTCAGAGCCATGAGGTCTTTCTCCTCTTGGAGGCCCCTTGACCTTCTTTATTCCTCCAGGGTCACGGAGCAGGTCACCTTCAGGGCGCTTTTGAATAGTTGTAGTTTTCTTAATTCATTGAGGGTTGCTGGTGCATTCCACAACTTTGCTCCCAGGATATTGAGAACCTGGATGGTTGGTTGGTGTTTTATGAACACTTGCTGAGACATATAAAAAAATGCATCCTACTAAGTTCAATTACGTTTTCAAAACGAGCTCGCTTTAAGTTAAAGAAATATTGTGGTTCGCTACAAGTTAAGCTCAATTGACAACATTTGTGTCATAATATTTATTACCCCCCCCCCCCCCCCTCTTCCC